ATATTGTTATGATCCTGGCCATTTCCGAAGTGCAAATTCACAAGGAAAGACAATGCCACCCAATTGCGAAAGAAATGAAAGCACTTGCAAAGAGATAGAGACTAAAGAAGAAGGGAGAAAGAAGAAGAAGAAGAAGAAGAAGAAGAAGAAGAAGTAGTACACCAGCAAGACCAATGACAATCCCCCCTTCTCTCTCCACCTTCCTGCTCCTCCTCCTTGTCTTCACCTATCTTATTCTTCTCCCAAATAATAACAATAACAATGAGTGGTTGAACCAGAATCAATATCAGAAGTTCCCTCTTACTGCCAGCACAACAACAGGTCCACCATAGCCATGACTTCCCCCCTTCTTCCTCCTCTCGCATCCCAAGGCTATGGCGGACTACGAAGGTCTCTGCCCTCCTGTGCAAAGGACAACACAGAGCAGCTATGGTCGCTGCTCATCAGGCCGCCATGCCTGACTTTGCCTCGAGCTTCCTTGGTGCGACACTACCCCAACTGGGCCCTTCCAGATGCAGCGCCTAACAAGGTGATGAAGATGGTGTCCACCATAGCCAGGTAGGTACCTCGCCACTCTCCTCCTTCGCCCCCTTGTTCCTCCTCCACAAGCTGGGCTGCTCGCCATAGCCAGGCTGAGCGCCCAGCTCCTCTTCGTCCTCCCAGGGAGCGCTCTGAGTCCAGCGCCCGCTCAAGCAGTATGTCACCCAACCTTGCATTTGAACTAAGTCAGTCAGGTTCATATCTTAATTAAGCAAGATAAAGTATGAAAGACTCAGAAAGAGTTGTGGATCATAATGAAACGAGTTATTTTCAAAATGCAAATACTATTAAATTTTAGCTCAATTGGAGTTGCATTGATTGGTGTTATTATTGCTTATTCCATCTATGCTGCAAGGAAAATGAGCGATAGCGAATTCCAGAAACCAAGCAGCATCATACACATGAAACCAGATAGTCGTGACCTCCAACCAAAAGCAGAATTGCAACACGAGTTCCGCCAAACAAGAGCGCAGCAGAAGCTCACAAGTGACAATGTTGGAACAGACTCATCATCATCAACAATGAACCAATGTCGATTTCCTATCTGGCGTTGTGCGGCCAGACTACAAATGGCAGATCCTATCTAGCCTATCTGCAATGCCGCTGGTGACGTCAACAGCTCCCCGAAGTACGAGCAGATCTCGGGCATTGCCGTTTGCCTCAAGCACCAGGTATGTCTCTCGCATCACTCACAACCTCGATCCCCCACACAGATGTCACGCGCACCCAAGGACCACCATGCGCCCCATCCAGCACCTCGCAGGCCAGCTCGGCAATGGCTGCCTGCGTGCACCTTGCTCGCCCGTGAGCACGTGGGCGCTTGCTTGCCAGTAGCGCAACAGCACTTGCACAGCATGTAGCAAGTGCCCGAATGCCGAATGCGGGGGCAGGCACTTTCCTATATGGAAATGGCCTGCCTGCTTCCTGCTGCCTGGCTGTGCTGGGCCCCTGCCAAGAAGCTTCCGGTAGGCCCCAAGTGGCTGAGCCCCGGTCCACGGGAATCAGACACAGGGCCTGGGGTGGTTACCCGTGTCCAACTGCCAGCGGCCTGTGCGCAGTCCATGCCCCGTGTCTAGCCCAGGGCCTGCCTCAGATATGCAAGTAGGCTGCACAGCTGACTGAGTTTCCCAGTTGTGTGGAAAGGCAGGCGGGGGCTGGGTTCTCTCAACCAACTGGCGCTGCACAGCTGACTGAGTTTCCCAGTTGTGTGGAAAGCCCGAAATAGGCCTCTCGTCCTTGGGCAGGCCTGCCTTCACTTAGGGCGGCTGATATTGCTGAAAACAGGGCCCAGTAGGGCTCATCGAGGCCTTGAGCCTTGCAATGCATACAATTGCGAGGAATGAGCCCTCGCGGGGCCCTTATCAGACATGCAAGTGTCTGGGCTGCGGCCCCTGGCAAGCCGGCCCTGTGCCCGCCTTAAGTGAAGGCGGGCCTGAATATCCATGAGAGGCCTGTTTTTGACATTTTTCAATATGTGGGGATTCAGACAGTTGCAGCACGCCAGTCGGTTAGCCTCCAGGCTCTTTCCAGAAGCAAGGGCTGCACTGTACAGTTGAGCCCAGGGCTCAGGTGGTTGCGCCCTGGGCACACGCTGTGTGAGGCCGACACATCATGGACTGGCCGTGGGCCAATGAGAGAGCAGCATTGTCGTCACACATGAGCCAGGAGCCAATGAGAATGCTGCGAACACTTGGTGGTTCGGTGGCTGCCTGAACGTGCCCAAGAGCACGAGGCCCACGCCAGTATCTGAAACTGGGCCTGGGCACAGACACTTGGGGGCAGAGGCAAGCTACTGGGCCCCCACACGCCTGGCGAGACCAGCCAGCAGCGGACACACTTTTCATAAAGGAAAGTGTGCCCTCCCGGAGTTGGCATTCTGGCCTTGGCAGGCAATGCGGACACGCTGCTGCGTTGCTGCGCTAGTGCCTGCATGGGCACTGTGGGTCGGACGCCCGCACGGGCGCTGAGGTGAGCTGCGAGGCAGCGGGCGCACAGCAGCCATAGCCGTGCTGCAGGGGCGCAATGCAGGTGATGTCGATGGCGATGGTGTTCTTCGGGTAGGAGGCACGTGAGGTGGGAGACGAGGAGTGATGAGGAGAGAGAGAGAAAAGGTATCTGTTGTATGCTAATTTCATTGTATTTGATACAAATTTATAATATACAAATTTATGATAATTTATAATCTAATAAACAGAATCATAAATTTAAGACTCCTCCAGAAGATATAGCAGCCTACTTGAGGTAAGTAGGCTGCTATATCTTCTGGAGGAGTGTTATATATTTATGATTCTGTTCTTCGGGTAGGAGGCGCATGAGGTGGGAGACGAGGGGTGACGAGGAGAGAGAAAACGTATCTGGTGTATGCTAATTTCATTGTATTTGCAATTTTGCATACAAATTTATAATATACGAATTTATGATAATTTTATTAATTTATAATCTAGTGAATAGCATCATAAAAGGCTGCTATATCTTCTGGAGTAGTGTTATATTTATGATTCTATTAATCCGTAGGCTCTGATATCGCCCATACAGGCCGTAGACTCAGGCTACTTGGACTGGTACCGGCCTACCTCTAGCCTGGCGCTACCGGGCCTCTAAAAATGCCAACTTTTTGTCTTCTTCTGCTCGGCCTCGACAGTCCCTCGAGTACCTGACAGCACGCACACACACAAACTCAGCAGAATGCGGGAATCTCAGCAAGGCATATGTTCCAGTGGTAAAACCTTAGAAATCAGCAGTGATCTCAGTTTTTGTTTTGGTGGGTCATTAAAATATATAAATTCGATTTATAATAATATATGTTTATTGAACTTTATTCATCTTCACTGTTAAAAAAAAAAAAAAAAGGGAATGCATGACTGACTCTTCAGCTCCTTTTGCACTTCCTTTGTGAACCCTTCCTCGGGAAATTTTCAACCTTTTCTCGGGAAATCATGTGTTTTAGTGTCCCAACCTGGGCTACCAGCGGGGCCGCCCGGGTCACCTTGTCTGCCAGGGTGGCCTGGCTGTGCAAGGACCAGGGAAGGTCCCAGCACCAAAAAAAAAAAAAAAAACAGAAAGCAGACTATGTTATGCAGAAAGATAAATGGAACAACTTTTGCGTCAGGGTCACTTGGAAATTCTTCACCAATTTTTTTAGAAGCCATCTAGGCTACCAGCCGGGCCGTGGGGGTCACCCTGATCTCCTGGGCGGCCCGGCCGTGCAAGGACCAGGGAAGGTCCCAGCAGAAAAAAATAAAAATAAAAATAAATCCAACAAATCCGGGAAAAAGAAAATGTTATGCAGAAAAATAAACTGCACAACTTTTGCCTCAGGGGCCAAGTCCCGCTCGCACCTTTGAGTTGTTGAGCTTGCTGAACGGTGTGACAGCTTTTCAAGCATTTTTCAATTCATTAGAAATGAAGAAAGCTATCTTTTAATGTCCGGACGTTCTTTGTTTATCATTTTTTTCTATTTCATTTTTTTCGTTTTTCTCCTCACGCCTGGTGCCCGAATTCACGCACACATGACGACGCCGGAGGGTCACAGTCAGGAAAACAGGACAGCGTGAGGAAAAGAACTTCCTCTTGAATGCACCTATCCACTAAACATGGCCAAATTCAACAACTCGTGTGAAAGTACTACCTGTTGGCTGGACGACCGCCTCGGTGCTCCGTCTGCAGAATCGGGCTTCGGACGGTACGGTACTATGATACTTCAGAAGCCAGGCTCATTATGGCAATAAAGGTTGTCGTTCCGTGAGAAATCGTCGTTGAGCTGGCTACCAAGAGAAAACAATGAGAGCTGGCTCAACGGAAGGGCGCTCGGGTAGGGGGCGTTCTTTTTGAGAAACAGGCATTTTACTCTGGTTTCCAATATTAAAAGAAAAGCAAGAAAAGGAAATTAAAGTTTCTTTTCTTGAATCCACCAGTGGATTCGCAGGGACATCTATAGCATCTTCGAGGTCGCGCCCTGTCACATGTGATTGAATGCTCAGCGTTGAAGTAGCTCAACGCTGCTAGTGGGGACATGGCCCCAGGGTTACATCGAAATTCTTTATCAAATTGTAAATGAAAAATAAAATTGAAAAATATTATTATTATAATTTTATTTTATTTTATTTTAACCGCTCCATCTATTGGTGGGGTGTTTTTGGCCCAGCCGGGCAAGTGGTCCCGAGCCACTCTGGTAGCTTAGGAAGCCATTTAATAAAACATAACTTTTGAAATTTAAAACTTAAAACGTAAAAGGTGGTTTTTTTTTTTTTTTTTTTTTTTTTTTTTTTTTTTTTTTTGATCCACCTGGGCAAGTGGTCCCTGGCCACTCTGGTAACCCAGGTCCCAACTCCAATTGACTCTATTGAGTCTATGATAGTCTATATCTCTTTGCTGCAATCATGCGTTTAGCATCCCAACTGCAATATATTGACTTGGTATCTGTCGCTGTTTGTTGGGCATCTTGAATTTGTCCTTGTCAGAGGGAGCTTGCTGCCTTGCTGGAAAGAGACGGATTCAAGTCTGTCTCCGAGGCAGTGGGTATCGATCACCGTTAGGCGGCATCAGCATTTGGAGCAGACAGAAAATGTTTTCACCCCGCAGCCCGCAGTCGCTACCTCCAGAGGGGCCGGTTATACAGCTGAAAGGTACAGGACGGCCCGGGCGTAACGTATGGAGTACGCATCGACTCAGTACTTGACAGCAATTGCCCGCAGCCCATGAAGAAGTCGAACGACCACAACTTTCGCGCTACTCGTAAAGCAACAACACAACAACACAAACAGCGATTTTGACTCGAAGCATAGCTAGCGCGAAGTCACAGTGGGGTGCATCCCATCCATCCATTCTACTCTGTGCTGTCAACTCTCCCAGGCCTGCAGTCAGTGCAGTGTATTTACTCGCAAGTTTCTAAGTTGGATGTAAAGTTGAAGTAGTGGATCAGCAAATCAGACGTGACTACGGTCTCGAGACCCAGATCGCCAATCAGTAAGCCAATTGATTCTCTCCTTGCCTCTCTCTCTCTCTCTCTCTCTCTCT